ATGCCGGGCGCAGACTTGCAGAAGGTTCTCGTTTATTCTCGCTGCGAACATAACTTCAATCGTTTATCCCTGATTTTGTTGTTCTAGAAAGTGCGTGTTCATTCTCGCCCCCAACGCGCTCTGCGCTCGAACCTTCCCCAGCGACTTTTCGAGATAGTGAGTCACTCTAAATAAGAGGCCGCCCGTGACCTTGTCGAGTCAGTTTCGCCTCAGCGTTCGATCCTGCTGCTTCGTCGACTTCGACGCCCGCGACGCTCTGTTATGTTTTGTACCCTTTTATTTTTGGCACAAGTTCGCCACATTAAACGTTTAATTATTCCTGTTTATTTCTTGTTTATTGGTCACCACCCGTGACAGTGTTATGAGCCAAGAGTTTTAAGCTAACCAGGTTAGTTTCACACCGCAGAAGTAGTAGCTCGAGGGAACCCGGAAGTAGAAATATCAGCCAGTTCGCAGCAATTACGTCTGCAAGCTCTGTTTACTATAAGGTCTTCACTGGGGGCCATATTTGAGCAGGCTGTTCGCAGCGTATCCAGGAAAAGGGGGAGGGGGTAGTGGTCTGGCTGATTTGGCAGAGGTCCCCTTATCTTGAGACCAAGCTCCTAGCTTACGTCTGCAAAGGACGGCGATCTTGATAGTGTGGAATGCCCGTTTCGAAAGCAGTGTGGAAGCTTTAGGATATTGAACTTCGTAATGGCTGACGCGTCTACGAAGTTGAATATCTTAAAGCTTCCGCACTGCTTTCGTCGCGTTCAGGACTTTGCAACTCCGCGAGCGGGCCATGCTCACGCAAACTAGGGCTTATTTTTAGAAACTCATGACCTGGCAGCATGCCAAAGGGGCTTCACAGACCGCCACCAGACGCAATATTGAAATCTGTTAATTCGTTTTAACATTAGTTTTCTTCACTTCTCTGCCGGAAGCTCCTAAAAACAAATCTGGGCTAGCGTTTCCCTCCAGCCGGCACCACCTAGGCCACGAGTAAACAAATAAATAGCGCAGATACATCGTTTTCGCAACCGTTTAAGCCTCGACGGTGTTGTTCGGTCCCGTTTGTTGCTCTTGCGGGACTAGGTTTTGGTGTAAGAAATATATACATATATACACACACACACACACATAGGGTGTTTTTTTAAACTTAACAGATTTGTTTAAAATAAGCCGTGAAAGTTACGCTTATGACGTTTGTGGAGGTGAGTTATACGGCCAGGGGGACATATTATAGGGGGCTGGTTGAAACGATCACTCGACTAATTACTTGATATTTTAATTAACTTTTAAATTATTGAAAATAGACATATGTTTTGAATTATAAACTTACTCAGCGTCATCGAAAACCACTAAATCAGTCACTTTCATAAAGACTTTGAATGCGTGAGGAGCTTAGTGTTGTACTAAAGTTACCACTCGTGGAGCAGGTACAAGGCTGGGGCTAGATAGGAGACGGAAAACTCGCACGGGCGCTTTACCGCAACCGTTTAGCGTTGTGTCTGCTCCACGAGAGGTAACTTCATTGGACTCCTACGCTTCTCACGCGTTCAAAGTAGTCTTGTATTCTTTGGCACCCACACACGAAAACATATATAAATCAAATCGAAAGAATTCAAAACCAGGTCACTAGATATGTGCTAAATAACTATAATTTTCATGATAGTGTCTCTCAATTAAAGCTCAAACTCGGATGGAAACAAAGTTTTCCATCCGAACCAACTAAGACGAAAGTGCCTCCGTCTCAAGTTTATGTATAATCTTCATCACGGTAGCGTCGGTATAGATAAGTTGAGATACCTATTGGAACCTCATTACGTTTCCCTTAGAACTAGTAATAAAAAAAGATCCGAGAATTGCGCGCACAGACCGACGTTCTAAAATATTTTTTTTTCCGCGGACTGTTAATGATTGGAATGTGCTCCCCGACTCACTTGTAGAGCTTCCTGCTGTACAATCACTTTTTGATGAAGTTATGTTATTGTAGTCGGTTCGACAAGTTTTTGAGTGACTTGTGCGTGCTGTCAATATTTTTTTTATATTATTGCAGTATATATTGACATGCTTCTCCTGTTTGACATGGTTATTTTGCTATTATTCATTTTCTTATATTATTGCAGTATATATATTTCTCCTGCTTCCCTTGTTATTTGTTTTTGTTGTTCTGCAGTACAGTGTGCTCAACTCTTAAATATAACGCGGGAGCAGTGGCCGAAACTGATATCAGAGCTGTCTAGCGATTAAATCAATGATACGGCGGGGAATAGGGCGGCTCTTTTTGCGATTGTCGCCACTCTCCTATAAATTATAGCATGGTGCCTCCTTGTTTTTTTTCTTTATCACCCACGCTTTAATTTTTTACTTGTTTGTTTCGTTGTTTTGGCCACTCTGCTTAGTCACACCTACGCATTTACCATGTGGGGCTACCATATCGCGGTGATCTTGTAGTTTCTCAGGTAAAGACTACCTTCTTTAAACAACAAAACAAAATCAGAATCCGATTTTTTTTTTGTCGCAGAGTCACGCATTGGTGATTGTCTTGGAGCTGGGAGTGTAACTGTAGAAAACAACAGTGGCATAAGCTGCCAGAATGAGCCGGTAGATGACGCATACAGCCTCTTTGGCAACCGCTTCCGCGTTATATTTAACAGTTGAGTACACTGTAGGTTTGCTTTTGTAAATTTCTTTCGTTTCCCCCTACTGTAATGCCCACCGGGCGATATACGTACCAAATAAATAAACAAATAAATAATCTTTGCGGCAGCTGTCCTGCCCTCCGACGACTGAAGCGCGGAACCAAGGCCAGCGCAAGAGTCAAAGTTCAATCTTGCAATGTCATGCTCTTTCTCTTTCGAACAGCGAGGCGTTCCTTATCGCCTGGCCACGCGCGCGCGAAACACTGCGTTTTTTGTTGTTTTTTCTTTACGAGAGAGGGAAGGGGGGCGGGCGGGCGGGCGGGCGGACGAGACTACTTCGTTTCACCTTATGTCCGAGCGCGGACGATGGTGTGAGCCGAAGGGCCAAACGAACAGCGCAAAAAGCACAGCGTCGCGCGATGACAGCGCGGCAGAGGTTGGTTGCACTATCTTTCCACGGGGCGCGGTGCCGCCGGGGCTGAGGTGCGCTCCGATAGCAAACCGAAACTTAAAAACCCGTCAATTTTGTGCGGTTTTTCAGAAAGCCGTAAAATGCTTCACATGCCTTCTATCGTTCTGCAATTTGTTCATTTAGTGTTTTTCGATGATGCTGAGCAATTTTCTTATTTAAACCATGCCCTTCAACACAATATTAAAAAAGTTAATTACGCAAAATAATTTACAACTTAATTACCCAGACTTTAATAATTTTCCCTAATGGGCCACTTGCCCCGGACCGAAGCGCCACAAGCCTTTTTTTGTCGCGATGAGTAGTTTTCGCAGGACCGATTCGGTCTGCGTTCTCTGAAACACTCTGTATATTCGGACACAGCGCGCGTGGCAACCGCAAAACAGTTCTCTCATCGCCTTAAATATTGCCGCGCGCAGGGTCACGGACTTGTAGAAAGTTCTCGTTTACTCTTGCTGCGGACATAACTATCGTTCATCCCTGTTTTTGTTGTTCTAGAAAGTGCTTGTTCATTCTCGCCCCGAGCGCGCTACGCTCGAACCTTCTCCGCCGAATCTTCGAGATACTGACTCACTCTAGATAAGAGGCCGCCCGCGACCTTGTCGAGTCAGTCTCGCCCTAGCGCTCGATTCTACTGACACGCCGACTTCGACGCCCGCGACGCTCTGCTTTCTTCTGTTTCCTTCTTTATTTTTGGCACAAGTTCGCCACATTAAACTTTTATTTATTTCTGTTTATTTCTTGTTTATTGGTCACGACTCACCACCCGTGACAATATAAGGAGATGAGAAAAACACAGCAACGGAATTCTTCGTCCAGGAAGCCGCCGCGAAGCCGGCCAGGTTCTCGGGCCTGCGCAGTGGGGAGCATGATGGCACCGCCCCAGCGCCGTGTGCGATAGGAAGGCATGGCGCGCTGTTTATAGGAATGCGCTGCGTGTAGGAATGCTTTTGGGTTCCTACAGGCAAGGAGTCTTAAGTATATCTGCCTAGTTTTTTTTTTTCTTTTGTTCCCAGGACGCAGTAAGTTTTGGATTTTGGACAATGACTTTCACCAGAGATTCTTGATCTATGAATTGTTTGGAAATTCGTGGCATAATATGCCTGGCATAAAAATTTTTGCGACAATACTTAAGTATGCAGCAGTTATTGACCCTCGAAATTTTCTTAGCAGCCACACCCTGTAAAAGAAAATAGAGAAGGCCAATGCTCTGCCGGACAACAGCTTTGCTCAGTGACACCAGCAAAAGTACGAGGGTGACCCTAACCAATGTGAGGTCGCAGGACAGGAACCGGATGCCGATAAACTATCCGATAATCGCAAACTCCACGAAACACGAACTGTTGGGGCTAAAAGACGTATGCCTAAGGAACCTGCGCATTCAACGGTAAGGGCACACCAACGCCGCGGTGGTGTGTTCATCGTTCCCGTTGCCAATTTCCTCACAACGACGTAGCAAGAGGTGGATGTTTGCGCTCGAACACATTCTCGCACAGCGAGGTTCGTCATGTACCGCATTAGCTTATTGAAAGTAGCGATGGGCGAGACAACCGTCTTATAAAACTGGAGTACTAGTCTCAGAGGGTGTTCTTGAGGTTGGAATCGAATGCACGGCGTGAGCTGGCATGGCGTTCGCCGTACTCACTTCGCAGTTGCAGGGTTTTCGCTCACTTCCCGTGCCAGCAAAATCCTATTTGTTTCGTTATTCCCTGTGTCTGATATGTAGCGACCAGAACAAAAGGGTACCTACTGCATCGCGCGTAAGAGTGGAGTAATCTACGCTACATGAACAATGGCGGCGCGGAGACGTTGAAGACGACAAATGCACAGCTTGGAGAAACCGAAGGCGAAACTGCCCGTTGACCGTCTCCGGCTCCCGGAGTGCACCTAAATCGCTAGGGGCGCTGCTATTGCGCATTTTGCCCATCGGGATTTTCTATTCGATAGTGTCGGATTGTTGGGCGTTCTGTGTCCTAACCAATATTCGCTATATATTATTACACCATAGACTAGGGAAAGACTTCCACTCTGTATCCGAGGTGGCAATCTGCGTAGTACCTTCAGCAGCTTTACGTAGTCTTCGGCAGTTGCGCGGTCAATCAAGGCGTCGTGCACGCGGAACTTGAGGAGGCCATAGTGGCGCAGTTTGAAACTCCAGAAGTCCTTGACCGCGTCTTGACCGGCGGTAGTGTTCAGGTCGTTGTAAGCATCGTATTCTTTGCTGCAAAAATAAAACTGCAGTTACTTCACGTGAAACAATTCGTGTTTCAAAGTCGCGTTCTAAGCGCAGTTCTTTGTTAACGTCGCACAATATTATATCTTATCAAAATACGCTGCTACATGAAGACTCTGTCACCTCTTGGGCGATTCTCTGCCTACTCTAACCTTGTTCTCATAAACTCTAAGTCATTTTTTTTTTTCTCGTTCTTAACAAACCTATAACAGTCAGACAAAGGGCACCCATATAATTCTTGAACCATGCAGTTATTCCGGTGTCTGCCTACCAGCTATTTTCGTTGTTTTTAAGAATACTGAATTGGGGTATTAAAACTTCTTTGTATATGTCTCAGCACGTTACACTTAGCGGATTGAATATCTAGCCAAAAAAGGAAACTGCTCGACAGGCTTATACTAAACTTGACTCCTTTTTGAGATGGATGTAGTTGTGCCGTAATATGTGGGCCCTTGTTACCGTTAGAATATTTGACAACATTTAGTTGTATGCAGGTAGCCTTTAACAATCGCAGTTATTTTATTTTTCTTACAAAAAGTAGGTAGCATAAACGTCTACTTTTGACAAAACTCCATCAACTCTGCTCTACGTAAGCCTTAGAGTGGTAGCACATACTAGTTTAGGTCAAACCGGGAACCTCCCTGATATACACTTTCACATATATGGAGTGTCTGCGTTCCCGCAAAGCACCTGTAAAAGCCAATCGCTGCAATCTGCCATTGAAGATCGGCGGAGGAGGAGGCTGGCATTACATTTAGACCCGAAAAAATTCTCTGTGCTGCGGCACTCAGCATAGTGTTTCAGCAGAATCAGTGTCCCTGCGCAGGCTCTCTCCTCTTAGGTAGGAAAGTCTGGCAACCTCGAAGTTCGCCGAGCCTCCTCCACAGATTGCAGTGAGCAGCTCCTCCAAGTGCTTCAGAAAATAGTATAAAATATCGCAACAGAAATCAGACAAAAACCCACACACATAGCAGTGCGGTTAGAAGGAATTGCACACCGTCTAAAACACGCAGCTCCAAATGTTTAAGGCCTTTCATTGATATCTATATAAGATACGGAATCAGAGTGACTCCTGAAGCCTACCCGTGATCGATCCCTAGTCCGTATTCCGTTGAAACGCTGTTGTTCCTGGCGTAGCCCAGAAACCACTGTAATACAGGGGCGCTCCTGTCGAGGAAAGTACCCTTTCCAGGGGCGTACAACAGGTTAAAGAAGATGATGTCACAGACACCATCCCGGGGTCCCGGCTCAATTTGTTTGTTGAGAGTGCATAAGATTGGCTTGCTGGGGAGCTTCCAAGCTGAAAAATAAAGCAACACACTCATAAGCCAAAAACTTCATGTTTTGAATGCTTTAATACCTGTAATTATGACTAATTATTGAAATAGAAACCAGTACAACGTCACTAAGAAAATGCTATCCGACCAACTGATCAGACCAATAGTAAGGTCTAAGAGTCATCAGAAAAATCAAAACCATTGTAAGAAAAATTGTGTTGATTGCTTCATATCACAACAGCTTCATCTCCCAGGCAGCGGTACCGTACCCCTCCCGCTATGGCGAGGTGCCGGATTATGGATCGAAATTTGGGGAGAAGCTGCTCCCTCGTCTTCCACTTTTTGAGTGATTAGCTTTGTTAGGACCTTCGAGTCACTTTACGTGTCCTGCATTTTTTATCGATGCCATGTTATTTCATGTCGCGTGACCCTTACAAAAATCCAGTTTCCCCGCTGGCTTTAGCGGCCAAATTGACGCCAGGTGACCTCAGCACCAATCCAGTTTCCACGCTAAAATTATAACTGAAAAAATGACATCACATGGCTATGGCACGCGACCTATAAGAACATTATGTTTTCACGATAATTTTACCGAGAAAATGACGTCACATGATGTCACGTGACCTGTGCACAAATTCAGTTTCACCGCTAGATTTACCGGAGAATTCACAACAGATATTTTCAACAATTTGCCTTCCCCGCCTAAATTAACGGGGAAAATAGAGACACATTACTTGATGTCACGAGACCTCAACACCAATTCAGTTTTCCCGCAAAATATCACAAAAAATTTACTCGTGATCTGCTTCAGCTCTTTCAATTAATAAATTAATATTTCTAGAAACGCCAGCCCCCCCCCCCCCCCCCCCCTTCCCCGCCTCGGGGGCACTATGGAAACTGCGGGGCGTCGCGCTCATTGGCCAAGTAAAGTCTGGCTTACTCGAGCCTTTGCATGCTAGGTGGCGCACGCTATAGTTCAGGCGAGCTAATGATTTTCGAACCTTGTTTGTACGAGCTGCGTTGTATATTTTTTTTTTATTGGCGAAGCAAAATAAAATGTACCAACTATGAGCACCCAGCATTAACCAGGCGACGCTACCACTTCTTGAATGCTAGCGCCATTTCTCGCCAAAGTTTCTTATTGTATACTGGTGCGTTTCAGGCAGGTTGAAGGTCGCAGAAATATATAGGCTTTCTAAGTTTATGTATGTGTTTTCCAAGAATGTTTTTACGTAAAAAATTACTAGCGGCAAGAGAAATCTGAAACGAATGCATTTATAAGGCGGTCGCGAGCGTTGCCTGATTTCCTACGCGTGTCTGCGGTGTCTTATCCAAGCTTATCCACGATCCGCACTGACGAGGGTCTGTAGTCTCCGTGCGGTCAACTGGGCGGTCGCGATATTTCGTGCGCTGTTGATGAGACATGATTTAAATAAGCATTACTCGGATCGACTTTCGCTGCTTATAAATCGTGAGTGCCAAACCCACAGTGATTAGAATTTTGTGTATATGAAATAAAGTGCGCAAAGGTATGGTGTTCTGCATTTCGTAGCCGATAATTGTTCGATCGTTGACTCTTGATGAACGTCCATCTGTCTTTTAATACTCTTATATTTAATCGTCAATTAAAGTGAACTCAGCATTTCAATTTTTATAGCTGTCTAAAGAACATTTCTCAGAACTCGTACTCACAGGGTCCGAGATGTGTTTACATGTGGGTTGCGCCTTTCGGAATAGAGAAGCGACTTCGACTTGCCACACAGAGCCTTGATATTTCGTGCAAGTATAATTAATTTAAAGAGTACGCACAAAACAACTAACCTGAAAAGTCAACAATTTGTTAGAAATTCTGTACGGTGAGGATAGCGGCTTCCCTTAGCAATGCGTGTGGTGTTCAACTGATCGGTTGTCAAGCATTATATATCAACGCAAACGCTCCGATACAGCTTAATCAAAAGGTGCACAACCTTGTGTCTCAAGGCAAAAATACACCAATGTGTGATGCAAATGTAAAATTTATTGAAAGGAAAGAAGCGCAAGAAATGCAATCATGCATCAGATCGGATGGAATGTCTCCCCTAAGCGGGTCAGAGATCGACTAGTTAAAATGTGACATTGTATTTGGAATGGCAGGTGCATATTATAGAAAAAAAGGGACCATTGTGTTAGTAGACGTTCTCTCAACGCGATCGAACCTGCTGGCTCGCTTTCTCTATCTTGTATGCACGCTCATGCTCTGTAGCTGAAATGCCACCTCCGCTGAGAGAAAAACAAAATTTAAGAAGGGTACATAAAACATGATTTGAATCGGAAGACCTTCAATGATTTGATAGATTGTAGCCTCTCCCTAGAAGCGCACAAACCAAAAGCAATTGTCTCTCAGAGTTAAAAACAAATGCAAGACGTTTGCAAGACGCTGTAACGCCGAAATAGAGCGCAGGCATTGCGGAAGAGGAGGGAAGGGTACTGGGAGGAGAGTATACCTTTCCTCCCTCCTCGTCCTCTCCTGATCCTGCCTGCTACTTCTCCTCCCCTCCTCCCACCTTCTCCTCCCTCCTCTTCCCTCCTCCGCCTACCTTCCTCCTCCTATCCTCCTCCTTCACCTCCTCCCCTTTCTTCAACCTCCTCTCCTGTCTCTACCACCTCGCTCCTCCCCCTCCTCCTCCTCCCTTCTCCTACTCCCTACTCCTCACTGCTCATGCCGGAAACGGCCGCTTAAGAGCTTTGCTCTAAAATCTAGAATCAGTGCAAATATTTTGGCAGGTTGACATCTCATTGACTGGGGAAAAACCGTGGTGTATTTGGCAAACTGCGTTGCATATCCATCCAAGCTTTACGCCCATAACGTAGAAAACAAACGTACGTATTTGTTCTACCAATGTACCTTAAAGTGTGCTTCGCGAGGTTCCAACTTACGTCCCGGACGAAAACCCCATTATTAATTTAACTCTTGCATGAACGCATCTTCGCTACTTTTAAGGCGTGAAGGGGCTTTATCAACTTTTAGTTTCTCTTCGTTCTTTCACTTTCTTACTCCAGGGCTTTTTTAATAATTTAATTTTTGGCGGAGAGGTATTACGTCAGGCTTCTTAACGAATGGTCGCTCGTTCGGAACCGGCCGAGGGACAAGACGTGATCCCCATGAGGTCACGTGACCCCCGTGAGGTAGCGTAATCCCCGAGACGTCACGGGGACCATATGACGTCACGAGGGTGACGTGACCTCACGGTTACGCCGACGGCAACGCCGCTTAAGCCGGAGACGGGTGCCTAAAAAATGCGGTCTAAAAAAAAAGAAAAAAAAAAGACAGTTTCGATGAGGAGAGACCACGAAGCACGCTGCTCTCCTCATCCACCGTGGGTAGTGTAATTCCCACTTTTTGCAAATTTTCCAATCGAATGAGTATTAATATTGAATAATAATAAAACTGTTCGGCGTTACGTGCAAATGTAATATTATGAACACAAATTCAATTGATGGAAACTCCCTTGACTTGACGAACCGCGGGGACTCACGCTGCTATCCTCCCCTTCTCGCGAGAAAACTAAGAATGTCCTCTCTCCTCTTCTGTTCAATGGGCCGTTGTAGCATCGGACGACATAGCAACCTTGACCGCAAGGCTCGTGTTTATTGTCATCTTCCCGCTCACCCGGTAATAGCCTCGCCCCTAAAGTCGCTCTAGCGTGGTGCCACCAGTCTCACGAAACTTTA